GTTGTACCTATAATGGCCATAGTATTTTCCTCTTCAGGTTAAAATTCAGCTGCATGTAGCTTTGTTCTCTAAATCCATGTGTTTGCTAGGTCGTTCTGTAGAAATTAGGTAGATTAGCAAGCAGTGAGCTATTCTTGTTTTCCTGCTGGGGTGTGTGTGTGGGCAAGTTCATTGTGGAGATTTGAAAGAGTAATCATTTTTAGATCTGTACTGCTTTTTTTTTTCCTTTTTCTTTTGTCTTCTAGTCAGACATTTAGTTTAGGTCCTGAATGAGCCACAGTCATAAAACAACTGATTGGTACACCAAGGCTTTAGCTCCACCTTGGTGCAGTGGCAGTTCAAGGCAACATGAAAGTTAGTGCTGTAAATGCAGGATAAGCCTAGTAATGAGAATATTAATATATATGTATTTTTATATATATCCAAAGTGCATCTGAAAAGTTCCTGTTAGTGTACAAGGATGAGATGTAAAAGGTGCTCAATTCACAATTTCACTCTGGACAACATTCACGTTACTGTTTTGAGAGAGCATACCATTTTATCCTAATGCTTAGGTTAGTGATGCCAATAAGACTTGAATATGGCTTTTGTTTTCCCCATTCTCTAAATCAAGGATTATAAGCTACATATGTAGACAGCAGTGGGTATTTGGATGTTGCCTGGCTTCCTGGTGCTTCTGTGTTTGTGGCTACAAGCCATGTCCTTGTTGCGCAGCGTTGTTGTTTGAGGGCCAGCGTTACTCAAGGGCAGCAGACCCATGCTTCAGATTGAGTGAGGTGAGACTTGCCACAGGTGAGAGGTAAGAATCTAGAAGGAAGTCAGTCAAGCAGATGTCTCTTGTCTAAATGACTTGTTTCTGTGAAAAATTATCCTTTCATTAAAAAAGGGTCAGGCCGCAAGGTAAGAGAAGAGCTTGTTTTTAGAAATTTGGTCCAAACCTTTCCTCCTTCAGGCTCCAAAGGAAAATAACTCCATCACAGAACATGTTCTGCTCACCTGAGTGTGAATTCCAGTGCAAGCTCTTCTGGAAGCCTGCTTTTCATTGCATCTGTGTTGTGAGATTTAAGAACACTACTGAAGATATGGCTGAATACATTTTTTTAATCAGCTTGTCCTTGTTTTCATATGCTAATACACTTTTAGCTAGAATAGCTCTGATTTATATATTTATGCATTTTTACAGTCTTGCATACTATTGAGGTCAGATTAATAGTTCTACAGTTGTATTTGTTTTTTGTTTCCATTCTCCATGAATGCTTCTGCTTTTGAGTACTTCCACTAATGCCACCCATAGCTGACTACCCCTGTGCTCTGTTGCAATGTTTCCTGTACATTTTGCCCTTATTTTTTCCTGAGGAGCCTCAGCAGGTGGGACTTGACAAATGCTGTGTTTCCCCTGTGTTTACAGACATATAGCAAATAACTTCTATTCATCAGTACTTCTCAGTTTCCTTACTGTCAGTAATCTTTCCAGGTAACCACTGGAAGAAATTTCTTCACCTGCAGTGCAGGGCTCCATAGCAACTGGACCATCTGATCTTTGCCTTCAGCTCTTTTAAAGTGAAAAGGAGGTGGTGGGTTCAGCTTGTCTTACTCTGTATACTTGGTACAGAGCTCTTTTGAGAAGTAGCATCTGTCATAGTTGTAGTATGGCGTTCGGGTCCTGAACCAGAGGCAGTGAGCGCACTGAAACACGAGAGGGTCTGTCTGAACACGGGGAGACACATTTTCACTGTGAGGGTGACTGAGCACAGGGACAGGTTGTCCAGAGAGGTGGTGGAGGCTCCATCTGTGAAGACCTTCTAAGCCATCTGGGCATTGTCCCGGGCAAATGACTCCAGGTGTCCCTGCTCGAGCAGGGGCATTGGACCAGCTGACCTCAAGTGGTCCCTTCACACGTCAACCACTCTGATTCTGTGGCCTCTGACCATGAGGGCTGTAGGCACTTCTCTGTTTCTTTGGAGCAGTTACATGACAAGCAGCTGATGATGGGCATTCTTGTTTAATATGCTTGGCTGTGGCTAGGCTCAGGCAGGCTGTCCCTTTTTGAGTTCTTAGATGAATGAACTTGTGAGTTATTTATCTCTGAGCTAGAGGAATGAGGCTACTGATGAGCAGACTGTTTTAATCTCTGGAGCCTTTTGCAAATTAGGGTGATTCATTAACTCTGTAGATGTAGCTTAGCCATTTAAACTCAAGGCCGTCACTTCTTATTTATCTTGTTGCGTAGTGATTCCTGCTTACTTGTTGCTGAGCTAAATTCAAAGAGGAGACCTCTACCCATTAGATACCTGTTCTGCAGTGCTGCTGTTAGCAAGAGTAGAAATACCCATGGAAATTGTTCAGCCCCTCATCAGGATACAGACAGCTTTTTTGCTGAATGTCCTCTTCTGTTTTGAAAAGCTCTTGATGAAAGAATTAACCACACCTAAGGCAAATGTAAGTTACAGAACAGACTGTTCCACAGCAATGACACTACTTGCACCTCTCCTGGCTAGTAATGCCAATGAAATGTTAGCTGTAGGCTTGCCACTGATGCTGGTGACTCCAGAGCCTGCAAATGATCATACAGAGATTCATTACGCTGTCAGTGTTCTGAGAGAAAAGCTCTCTTCAACCAAGTTGAAACACAGCATGCTGACAAATTAGCTGAAGAAATGAGGTACATAAAATTGCAAGATGGACTTTGTGGTTTCTGTTGTGTGTAGAAGTAATAGCCTGTGGAAATAGCAGCCTGAAAAAGATATGCTGCAGCAGCAGTCTGCTTGTGAGGTGCTCGTGTTTTGATCACAGCATGTATTTCTAGAGGAGACATAAATGGTAACCCAGATTTTAGTAACACAGTTGATTGTTTTGTGCTTATTTGCTGTGGGCTTGTTGTTCTTTCTGGTGGCAAAACAAGGTCAATTTGTGCTTCAGATGTGCACTTGAAAATCCCTCTTCTAGCAGATTAGACCTGTGGTGCTCAGCAACAGATGTTGTCCATGGTAGGCAAATACCTTCTTTTCTCCTTTCTGCTCCAGATGGATCATGAGAGGCTGTCAGCAGACTCAGTGATGCTTGACTGGCCATAGCCTTGCACGCACTTTCCCTCTCCACAGCAGCACAGTGGCACTGTTCAGGTTCCCAGTGCAACACCATGGGCTCTGGAGGAGCAAGAGGTGTACGGCAGTACAGCAAGCATTGTAGCTGGGGAGTAGAAACAAGGGGTTTAAGTGTGTGAGGCAACTAATGGGGTATTACACCCCCTATCCCAGTAAAACAGTATTACAACCTTTGTAAAGGGGTGTTTTCTGATCACCCAGATGCTTAGCTGTGTGTGAGACCAAGCAGAGCTAGCAGCTGCTCCCACTGTCTGCCTGTAGTGCTGCTGGTGGTATCCAGGTGAGGTCTAGGAGCCCCTCTGCTGGAGGTGGTTTGCTGGTCCCAAAGACTACCCAAGGGTTTAGTTCCTGCAAGTTAATTGCTGATTGTGAACACAGGACAGTAATGCAGTTCAGAGCAGCCAATTCCGTGCTTTTCTGTCATTTATTCAACACCAAGTCTGTCTTTGTGCTTAGCTCATGGTTGGATTTCTTGACATCAACGGGTATCAGATGAAGAAAGACTGCATTTGTTGGATATTGGATTGCAGTTAGCTGTAATTGCCATATCCTGCCAGTCCTCTCCCTTTTACTGTGGAGTTCTGTGGTCTGGGAGTCTCTATGGAAATGGGATTAGATGTGGCTGGCTGGCACCACTTTCTCTTGGAAAGATGTACAGCTTTGAGTAAAGGCACTTGAATAAATTGCTGGAAGTGCCTGTTCAAAGTTTCTGGCACAGATGAATTTCTCTGCACAAACTCTAGGAGAAGTTCTGTTTCTATGCTGGTAAATTGGTTTTAACAGGTCGAGGAAAAGGAAGCCACTACAGTTCAATTGTAGAATAATTCAGGCTAGAAGGAGCCTCAGGAGGTCATCTAGTCTAGACTACTGCTCAAAGCAGGATCACTTTCATTATGAATGTATTTATAAACTCCTTTTCCTTAACATCCTTTTCACCCTCTTTCTTCTGCTTGCTTAATCTCCATGCAAACACTTATTTGGCAGTACCAGTCTCAGATGAGCGCACTAAGTGAGGTGAAGAACGAATGCATACAGTGACTGAACTACTTGTACAGAAACCTGTTGCACAAAAATCTGATCTTCAGCCAGCGGTCTCACCTGCCTGCACACAAGAATCCATCTATATGAACTGCAAAATGTTCCCGTGGTCGAAAGAGTATGTCAGGATTAAGTATTAAAGTTCTCCAGCTTCCAAGAAGAATGATGCTAGAATGCAGCTGCTAAATACTGTTTGTCTAGTTATTGATATGAATTTGTTTGAAAAATCTGGTCTGTGATCCAGGGGACAGTATTAAAGGTAGATTGTCCTTAAGGTTTTTTTGACGCAGGGAAAATGTCACCTTTGTCACCACTTGGCAGTCTTCCATTTTAGCTCAAATATAATTTGAAGGTTAATGGTCTAGGTATTTCAAAGATTCCTGTTTTCCCAATTGCCATTCCTGTTGCTTTTTCTGTTGTCCTCGCTCTCTATAGCACAATGTTTATAGCTCTGCAGATAAATAGCTAACTGTTTGGGTGCTTTTAGGACATGATAGGAATATAGCTAGTGTAACTAGCTGTGTAGATCTACCTGTAGTTTAAATGACGTAGCAGATTCAGGGAAAGCAAAGTGTCTGAAGTGGCATAGATGTCAGTGTGGCACACTTGTTTGCATATTTGTGTTGTGCCCTCAAAAGGTCTGTGATTCTTGGCTGCTGTGGCAATGTAACTCATTTAATGAACTACTCAATGTAAGTAGACTGGTGTTATATAGAGATGTAGCTAACACAGTGCTTATAGAAGCACATGTCTCACTGAGATAAAATACATGCTTTTTTATAACTTCCATTTGTATTACTCTAGGGCACTTACTGTAGTGGTTAACTTCTACAAAATCAATTTGTCTTACAGCTTGCCTTGAAGGGATCTAACTATGCTGGTCTGCTGGAGCGACATCGCATTCATACAAAAAATGTGGAGCACATTGTAGACAGTTTACGGTAAGAAAGTGTGGATGTTGAGAATTTCAGACGCAGTGCAAATATCCATGGATTGTGTAAAACTATGAAAAGAAGCTTTGTGTTATGAGCTGTAATAAAACAGCAATACTGAAAACAGGGTGATGCAGATGAACAGTCATTTGTGAAAGAATCATAATGTGAACTAGCTTAGTTAAGTAACACGCTGCGTTACTCTTTTGTACACAAATCAAAAACATGTAAAGGACTTGTGTGAGTGTCAAATTCTTATAAGCCAAATACTGCTGTAATTAGTCCTTGATTACATGTCACATCCTTCTGAAAAATTGACAAGGAATAATATAGGACAAACTCAGGTTTTTTCTGCACCTTGCAGGAATGAGAAGATAGAAGTTCGTATTGTTAAACGTCGAGACTATAATGAGGAGACGGTTCGGTGGGCAGATGCAATTGTTT